AAGAGAAGAGTAGGAGGGAAGAGACTCCTCCTCGACCACCACCGGAGTTCCACCCGAACTCCAAATGATGCGGGAATTCTGCCCGACTTCCACGGGACACAAGAATTCTGCCTGACTTCCACGGGATGCTAACATTCTGTCCAAGTAACAACAGAGTTCCCCTCTGACGCCGAAACTCCGCCCAAGTGATGCCAGAGTTCTCCTCGGCCACCAACAAACGTCAGACTTCTACCCGACGCTGGACCTTCACTCATCGCCAAATTTCTACCCGACGCCGGACTTCTACCTGTTATCGGACTTTCGTTGGACATCTATCCAAAGATGGATTTCTTTCCATTGTTGGACTTCTACCTGAAGTCGTCTTTCTGACATTCGTCGCCAGACAATAGTTCTTCTGACTTACGTCGCCCACCGACTACAATCCTTCCGGCCTCCGTCGCCCGCTGACTACTGTCCTCCTGACTTACGTCGCCCGCCGACTACAGTCTTTCCGACCTCTGTCGCCTGTCGACTACGATCCTCCTGACTTACATCGCCCGCTGACTATAGTCTTTCCGACCTTCGTCGCCCGCCGACTATGATCCTCCTGACTTACGTCGCCCGCCGACTACAGTCTTTCCGATTTCCGTCACCCGCTGACTACAGTCCTCTAGACTTACGTGGCCTGCCGACTATAGTCTTTTCGACCTCCGTCGCTAGCCGACTATGGTCCTCATGACTTACGTCGCCCGTATACTACAGTCTTTTTGACCTCCGTCACCAGACTACTGTCTTTATGACTTCCGTCGCCAGACAACAATCTTTATTACCTTCGTCGCCCGCCAACTACGATTCTTCTGACTTCCGTCACCAGACTATGGTCCTCCCGACCAAACGAACAAGTCAATAGTGACTCTTTGTATTCACATCATATAATGTACTCTATAAAATGTACATCAAGCTAAGGCCTTCTCCCAAGGAAGGGCCTCATTTGTAATCAACTGCAATACTAGTTGATTCATTTAAACTAGACTAGGCCCCGTGGTTTTTCCCCCTTTTAAGGGGTTTTCCACGTAAAAGTATTGGTGTCTCATAAATACTAGACCCTCTCTTATCTGATTGCATGCCGGATTTTCGTACAACGCTAAGACGTTAAACTTTATATTTCTCTACAGCCGCGAATACTCATGGACGCAACAAGAATCAATTTGCATCATTTTTTAACTATTCAGAATCTGCGTATCACTTTCTTGTTGCTTTCACGCTGCTTTTCAATTATTTTTTAAATGAAAATATGTTTTTAATAACTAAATTGATAAATATATGGTAATAGTAAGGAAATTGCTGCTCTATTTTTGAAAAAAGAATTTTAACAATCATAATAATTAAAAACTATTTTTCTAATGAATTTTATTATAATTTTCTAAAAA